CACAAGCCGTAAATGCCACAACTGCACGCCGTACTACCGATGGCTCCGCTCTCTCCTGAACATATGCAATTCATTTTGAGTGGCAGAGTTTCACTGCAACATTATGAAAGACGGGATCTTAGGATGGAAGTTTTATTGTAACATTACTATAAACAGACCGGGTTTTCCGACCAAACCACAAAAGTTAATGCAAAAAAATTTCGAAAAAAGTAGTTTCTCTAGCAAATTTTGAAAAAAAAATTTTATCCATTAGCTTGTGTTAAAATAACAGAAAGTCGCTATTAATACAACGAACAATGAAAAAAAAGCCGCTTATTTTTAAAACAAAAATTTACACCACCCGGCCAAAAAAATGAAGAACTGCCCTTCCTCTTGCTTAAATGCTAAAATCAGCCGAATTAACTCGGTGTTTCGAAATTTACGACAATTTGAAGAAGTTAGCTCTAAACTCAGGTCTTTCACAATAATAAGTATTCTAAAGGAAACCAGTAAGATCAAAACCTTAGAACTAAAAATCCTGCAAAAGCACAAGATGGTACCGAAACAAAATATCACGACTCACCTTTTCTAATAATGAGATACGCAAATCATGCACGAAAGAAGCATCGATAACATATTGGCCGCTTGGATCACGCTGTAGACCCTTATCACCCTGTTCCTTTTCTTCTTCTTCTTCCTCTTCAAACGACTGACCGTCGTCTAACTCAAGATTGGGATCTGGAATCAAACATAGGATATTTTGGTCCACTATTGTTTTCGAAAACTAAACATCAAAGGGCTTTCGGCTAGCGCACATTACAGTCAGCGTCTCCAGATCGTGAACGGCAAAAGATTGCCTGGGACGGCATGACGCCACGCTGAAAAAAGCAGAAAAATGAGTGCTAGTTGCAGTGGAGGAAATGACAGCGGGACGGAATGCTTGATGCGTCTTATTGCAACCATATGTTTATAGATCTGACATTCGAGGCGTGCAGGAATATGGGTACGATAACATCATAAAATGAACTCCAACAAAAAGGACACCAATCTACGAATGTGCTCCCATTAGTGAGCGGTATATGCAGGGAAATAAACAACTATTCCGAAGACTGAGAAAAGATGGTGGACATAATAAGAAAGGAGATGCGTATTTATTGCGTATAAGCAGCTTCGGACGGAAGGTCCTGGCTCCGTCGCATTTCGCAAGTGAGGGGTCGCAATAACAGCATTAATG